GAACAGCAAGTGTAATAAATGTTTCAATATCTGGGCCAAGAGTAAGAGCCATCTGGCTTCTGCTCAGCGGTTGTGAATTTATTTGGGTTTTATCCAGGTAAGTGGCAAGAACAGTTAAGTAATCAACTGATTTTTCTGTGCACTGAATCACACATTTTTAGATCCAAGGTCAATACTATAAAAATGTCCTTCTCTTTTAGATACTTTGTTTTCCCTCCTTCAAAAAAAGAGGAGGGGGAAGCATTGACTGTACAGGAAATTTTTAGAGATTAGTATTGGTTGGATTTAGTTCCATTGACTTCAGCTTAGAAAAAAAAATGAATTTAGCTCTTTACATTTTTGGTTTGCTTTGCCAAAGTGTTCAGAAACGATTACCATTTAGACTCTTGTTTTCATATATTCTCTCTTCTCTCTCTCTCTCTCTCTCTCTCACACACACACACACATTCCCTCTTAGCTAGTGGAAGTCTGGTTTTATTGTAGCTTTCAGCTATCAGAAGAATCTAAATGAGCTTGTTTTGCAAAGGAAAAGTTCTAATTTGCGAACATGTAAAAACAAAGGAAATAAACTGGTAACCACTTACTTTTAGGTTTTAATTCTTCAAAGACAAAAAGTGAAAGGAGTGCCAGTCCTTCCCCCAAGACACTATCTCTTCCCTTTAATTTTGATTGTTTTACAAGAAAAACAATCTTCCTGTGTTTCTAGGATCCCAATGGAAGTATGTTTTTATTTTGAGAAAGAGATAAGAATCCATGTAAGAGTACTCTAAGTTGCCAATAGATATTGAAGATGCCATGGTTTGAACTTTTCTTCCTTCATTTCTTAAAGGGAGAAGCTGGGTTACACCCTTTCACTTAGCTGAAACAAATAAAATAACCCAAACAAATCTCTCCCCTCTGCCACCAAATCCCACTCTGTACCACCACTCCTGAACTTGTACTATGTTGCATCATCGAAAAGTAGATTAGACTTTGCCAGGGTCAAGGAGTAGGCATGATTGAAATATGCATATAATAAAAATGTGCCAGAACATGCCTTAGATGTAGCATTAGGCTTGTTAAACTATCTCAAGGTAGGCAAAAAAAATTTTTTCTAATGTTTTTTATAAGTCATTGGGTAAAAAAGGATTTGGTGTTTCAAATTTGGATTCTCATAAATTAAGACATATTTATAATGTTCTTTAAAGTGAATTTCAAAATGATTGACTGCTACATTCAAATCAGAAATTTGTTTTTCTGGATAGTCCCTGTTCTTTCCTCTTCTAGGTAAGCTTAATCAGTGTAAGAGGACAAAGTATTAAGAAATCAAGCAATCAATCCTTTTATTCTGGAGAGAGAATTGCTTCATATTAGTTTTATTTATTTTGAATGTTAGCATTTCTGGATGAAAAGTAGAAATAATAGAAGAAAGAAATGCTAGGATTCATTAAAATCAGTGTGAAAAGTGAATTTCCAATTGTAATATTCATATACTGCTAAATCTCTAAGCAAAGTATAACATGAGGTGTACCATTTAGATGGCCAATTGGTAGAAATCCCTAGCTCCACCCATTCTATCCCTTTTCTACTCTGTCTCATCCCAATTAGCTTCCTCCTTTATTTTCCAGGAAAACATCCTCAAGACTAGGTAGATAATTTGGAAACCCTAGTGAAAATGAAAATGGCTATACTTTATTCAAAAAATAAGCATTTTAAGATAGTGACAGCAGAGCAACAAACCAGTGCAATTATGCAAGAAAAAGAAACAAAAGGCACACACTCTGGAATGGAATGGACCCTTGGATATCTTCCAATTCTGAAACCCTAGGATTTTATGATTAAATACAACATAAGAATTAAAAATCCCTTGAGTGAGAAAATGTTTGCATTTTTATTTAGTTTCACTAAAATAAAATTATCAGACATCCAGTTTTTCCAGCAACATTTCTATCAAAGCCGCAATGTTATATTGTCCTCTAATTTCCCATTTTTCAGTGCCTTTACATTTATATTTTGTATCATCTTGGTATGGAATAATTATCGTTTATCACGAGTATGGTAATTTGATATCCAAGTGACTAGCAGCTTCTTTGCAAGTGCATTTTCCTTCCCTCCCTCCCTCCCTTCTTCCCTTCCTCCCTTCCTCCCTCTCTCCCTTCCTTCTTTCTTTCCTTCCTTCCTTCCTATATGGTCTTGCTATGTAGTCCAGGCTGGCCTCAAGCCTCAGTTTCCTGGGTGCTGGGATTATAGGCATGTGCCAACACTGGTTAAGTGTATTTTATTAAAGCACTTCTTAAGTGGGTCCCTTTTTTTTTTCACAGAACAAATAGACCACAGTCCTTTTGTCAGACTACAGATTTTTGTTCAGAAAGCACAGACATCAAATGGAGTCTGCTTTTTTCATCCTTACCAGCCTTAACTTGCATTTACTTTACCTATAAACTACATGCAGTCTCTGATGAGTGGAGTACTAATGTGAAGCTAGCTAATGCGCTAACTGCAAATAAAGCACAGATTCTCATTCTGAAATGTTAGATGAAGAACAATAGTGGATTTCCTGCAGGTGGATGAGCTTTTCACTTCAGGTGCTTCACCTGCGCAGACCCTTCTAAGCGTCCATTTTTATAGACTAGAAAAAGAAAGATATTTTAACCATAATGAGAAAAAAGCACTGTCTCTTTTCACATTAATTTTCCCTCCTCTCTTTTAACAAGTGGTAACAAAGGGCTTTGGGGGGATTTTGGTCAAAGGAACATAGAATTGGGTGTTGGTTTTGTTTGAATGTAATTTTGGTGTGTTTTTGTGGCTTACATTTAATTATTGCCAGCCATAGAGTGTAGGAATAACTTTAGGAAAACTCCTACAGCTCAATATGCAACTCCCCTTACAAAGGGGACATGATGATCCAGGTCAGGGGTCATGGCATAAAACATGAATGTGTCCAATGGTCGCTGTCCCTGGGACTATACAGAGTGTACAGCATCAAAGGCGGTCAATGGAAAATTCTTCGGAATCTTACATTTTATATATGTATATATAATGATATATAATAGACTAAATAACTTTCCAAAATTTGATAATTTCTAAAATTTAGACACCATTAATAATGAGTTGTAAAGCTGAAGGAACCCTTTCTAATTCACCAGTAATGAAAAACAAATGTTGGTCAAACTCACTAGCAGAAGGAGTTATTTTTCTTTATTTGCCCTGTAGAAAATAATGTAACAAAATTATTTATAGGAAGAAGCAAAGAATGTGCACCATAGAGAAAAGTATCATAGAGATGTGCTAGGTGACTAATTAAAGGATTGTTATTTTTCTGGATTTTGTGATGCATATGGTATTTGTTAACTTTTAAGTTTTGCAATTTGTTGTGATTTCTTTATCTCATTTAAAATAAATATTCACTTTCAGATCATATTTTGTGTTTTCTTTAAGAGAACTGCCCAAACTGCATGAATTTCAGGTCCCACACACCTGGATCACCCTTGCATAGGTGTTTACAAATGTTTAGAAACAAGATAAAGCTTTTTCTTTTGGTTAAGGATGCTTAAAAACAATCAAGTGAGATTCTAGAATCTGACCTCCACAGTGGAATTGGTGGTTGGAGGCTGTCAGAACTGAAAATAGTGACAGGCACTCAGCTTTATCACCAAGAACCCAGCAGGGAAGAGCCCTGGAGGGAATCTAGCACCTAGCTTGGATTTTATTCTGGAAGAGAAATCTTTGGCAAACAAAGACCACTGAATTGACCTAATGGTGTTTTTATCCCATCTAAAAGAGGAAAGTCTGAGGCTTTTCAGTGCAACACTGCATTCAGAATATTCACTTAGTTTGAACCAAGTTTCACTTAAATTTCCCCAATATAAAGAAAAAGTTAGGACAGGTCAGAACAGTGGCTGATGATCACAATACTCTTCTATCTCAAGGTCCTTCCCTGCCCTCTGCCAGTGACAAAGTCCAGGGATGGATTGAGAGATGTTACCTGGAGAGCCTATGGTCAATGTGGCCAATAATCCCTGATATGAACTTATAACTGTTTATCTCCTTCACAAGAGCAGATGGGATTAATGTACCAGGATCATCATTCATTAGCAAGTTGTGACACAGTCACCAGCCCTTTCTTAAAGAGAAAGAGTTTCTGTGCAAATATCACTGCTTAATCCACTCATTAGTAATCTTGCTTGCTTGCTCTTTTCATATGTTCCCAGTAAAAGGCTAAATTCTTTTTCATTTCTGTGTAGAATGAACTTGAATAATCATGCAAAGTATCATGGTCATGGATGTACTTAGACAGATGTGGCAGTAGCTTGGCTTAGCAGAGCATAGTCCCATTTTTGATGCTGCTTTGAGGTTAGGCCTAAATGTGTGTATTGAGAAAGTCACTACATTTCAGAGAAGAGTAGTCTACTACAGTTCTATCCCAAAATCATTATCGAGTCATCCAAATGAAGAAAAGGGTTGATGACTTTTTTGCATGTTTATTTCCTTTTATTTTTGTTTGTTTGTCTTTTGAGCCAGGGTCTCATTATGTAACCCAAGCTGACCCAAAACTCACAATGGAGCCCAAGCTGGCCTGAAACTCTTGGTCCTCCTGCTTCAACTTCCCAAGTTAGTAGGATTACAGACATATACTACTATACTGGTCCATTCTCTTTTACTTTGATAGAGATCCCAAAGGAATAGGCTGAGTCTTTTCCTGCAAGAAATTTCTGCCATGGTTCTCCCACCTGGAAATCTCACCCAAACTAACTCGAACCCAGAGCCAACTCTCTTATATTGTTTTTGCATTGAACTTATTTTGCATTGTCATCAGCATATTTCTTGATTTCTTTCTGATGGTGTCAGATTTGCTTTTCTTTATGCTTGGAAAAGATAATTTACCTTCCACAAGAGACTTATCAAAGCTGACAGTCTGTGAGATTTCCTCATTTGGTTGTTTGATCCACTCACGTCAGTAGGGCCTGGTTCCTGATCAGGACTATGAAGGATCACCCACTACCCTTGATTTCATATCCCACCTTTTTCCATATCAGTCCTGATCTGTTCCTCAAGGTCCTCCGGTGACACATAGATGTCCTCTTCTGGCATCGGTGATTTGGGTCGGCAGCGTCCACAACAACAGTTGCAGCAGCAGCAAAGGCAGCAACAAAAATAGCAGCCCGTCAAGAGGCCAATGATGATGAATAGGGCCTAGGGAAAACAGAGGCAAAGCAAAATGGGCATGAGAAGTGATGAGAAGGAATAGATAGTCTCAAAAACCACGTCTGCAATCATGCACCCCCAGAGACTAGTAGATATCTCTGTGCACCCCTCAGACCACAGAGCCTCTCATCCTTTTCATTTCCTCAAAAATTACTTTCCTGAGCCCAGAATTGTGGTACACATCTGTATTCTCAACTCTTAGGAGACTGAGGTCAAGAGGATCCCAAGTTTGAGGCCAGTTTGAGCTACATAGTGAGTACCAGGCCTGACTGGGGTACACAGAGAGATGCTGTCTCACAGCAGACAAACAAACAAACAAGTACACCAAAACACACAAAAAAGAAAAGAAAAGAACTTTACTGATAAAGTTTAAAAGTTGGAGCCAAAAGTAATAAAGCTTGGTATTTTTTATTCTTAAGCTATTGTGATATTACTAAGAGCAGAGTAAAGCAAAACAAAGACTAAGCAACACAAGAAATAAAACTTTCACAGGTCAAATGAGCTTGTCAGGCTGCCTTTGGAACCAAATCATTCCTCACCAAAGAGCTATGGGGTACCTTTCTCTCCCACCCAAACATCACTATTAGCCACCTAGTCCTGTAAAGTATCTCCTCAAGATTCCTTGGATCAATCTTGCCCATTGTCTCTATCCAAGCCACTAGGACTTTAGAGCAGCAGCCTCCAAACTGGCCTCCCTGCCTCCTCTCTTTCCCCCTCAGAATCCACCCTGTGCATTGTTGCTGAAGGGAACTTTCTGAAATACATATTCTCCTGAACCCACACAGCCACTCTCCTGCCTCTGAGGGGGTGATCTGGCTCCCGCCATCCCTCCCTTACATCCACACAGCCCTGTTCTTGAGCTACTATTTTGCTCTCTGTGTAGATTCTACTGCTTAGATGCCCCATTCCCATTTCCAGACACCTAGCAAATACCCACCTGCTGTCTAAGACTCATCTCAACAAAACACTTCTAGAATACTTTTCCTGAGCCTGCCCTAAAACAATTATTCCCTCATTTGTGTACCACACAAATATGTCATATAAAAATCTATCTTGATGATCTTTCTGTTGACAATTTAGGACACTGATTAGCCTATACATATGTCCCACTATACTAGGCTGTGAGTATCTAGGATGTCTGTGTCATCCTTCAAAACCCCTTGTGCCTAATAGCTTAGTGCCTGATATGCTGCAGACTCTTAATAGCTACTGAATCCATGACTATAAAGATAATTAATGAAAAGTGATTTGTTCCTCCTAGGAAACAGCATCAGGATTTCCCTACAAGCATATAAAAGGGCTGCTCACTAAAAGAAAGAAAGAAGGAAGGAAGGAAGGAGAAAGAAAGAAAGGAATATGACTTCCCCAACTTGAAATTATAAGGAACCCATTTTTTTGTGAACTGAGCAAAATCAATTTACAATTTATTAAAAATACACTATTTGAAATAGAAAGTGGTTTGTACATCTTTAATTAGAATCCAGAGTTTATCTAATTAATGAGCAAGGGCGATCAAAGATACACTTCTTCAATAACTTAGGTAAGAACTCTGATGTGGACACTCTCACCTGTTTCCTCTCCCAGGATTCCATGCCTCCCCTTCGACCCTAGGTGTATGGTAGATAGGGGGCTCACAGTAAGGAAGCCTTGGTCTCACCCTAATACCTCAAAATCTTTGCTATGGAAACTGTACATTTTCATAGTCTTAGATAAATTACTCTAAAAGCAAAACAGGAAGCCTTCCTCCTCACCGTCTCCAAGATTCCTCTGTGAGCATTCCCAGCATCCCCCCCTCCCTTACATGCATTTGCCCTTTTGGTTTTTACTATGCAATTCCCACATTGGTCTCTTCTCTGAAAAATCTCCTTTTCATTTATTTACTGTTTAGATCTTAATTATTCCAACTTGATTGCTTGCCTTTTGTGGGAAATAGGCTTGCATAGCACACTACTAGACACAAGTAGGTATCTGATATTTTTAAAAACATGCATTTGATGGTATATTGTTTCATTCATATGGCATATTTAATGCATGGCACATTGTTTCTTTCATATGGTACAAATTATTATAATGCATGATTGCTATGTTCTGGGCCAGTATGATGAGTGCCATGCAACTGGGATTTGGCACAAGCAGAGAGGAAAGAACATTTCTTTATAGCTTTTTTTTTTTTTTGAGAGTGAGTCTCACTATGTAGGACAGGCTGGTCTCAAACTCCCTATCCTCTTGCCTCAGTTTCCTGAGTGCTTGAAATACAGGTGTGTTCCACTATGTCTGACTATAGCCTTGTTTTTAAAGGAGCCACATCTCTTTACTCCTGAGTACTCTACTTGTCTATAGGAATTTTGATTAATTTCAGGATTTTCCTGGATAGGGAAACCTGTTGTTATCTTTATGCAGGCAGGTTGCGATATTCAATTGGGCACTCGTGTGTAATAATCTGGAACTGCGGACATTCCTTCCCATGGGAAGAGTGCCCTTCCTGGAGGGGAGGTTCCCATGCAAGTCCACAAAAGCCCACATTGTTTTATGAATGCTAATCCATCATTATAAATAACATTGTCAGTATGTGCACTCATTCCATGTTCCAAATCCACTCAGTAGAATCTCGTCTCCCCTCTAAGTCTTCCACAGACAAAAGAACTTCAATGGGACTCTAGGTATCTCCCAAGGTAATTTTTGGGGATGGAATTTGCAGAAGACAAGTGGGGCTTTCAGGTGCAGACTTTCTTTTCATGTTTATATGCAAGAACAGTCCCTCTTTTCCTGTATATATCAAACCTTTTGCTGGGGTTGTGACGCAAATAGTAGAGTGTCTGTCTAGAAAGTCCAAGGCCCTGAGTTCAAACTCTAACACCACCAAAAAGAAGGAAACAACAAAGTTCAGATTTTTTAATGCAGTAAAAATTTAGTCAAAGAAAACAGCAATCAGAATATTACTGAGCATGAAACCTATCTTTTGGGGGACTGGGGTTTTTTAAAATTATTATTATTTATCACAACTTACATAAATGTGAACAGGCCACAAAATATGACAATGGACCACAGGTATGGTCTACATGTAAATATACTTTCATCATAAGGTAATGATATTAAAATTCATAAGCAAATATAAAACTATCACTAGAGATACACATATTAGGTATTCCTAGGAAGTCAAGCAAAATTTATTATACAAAAGTCAATTTCAGACTGGAAGTATGGCTCAAGTGATAGAATACCTGCCTACCAAGCAGGAGGCCCTGAGTTCAAACCCCAGTACTGCCAAAACAACTCCCTGTCTTCCACTGCTTAATTATCATCTTTCTCCCCTTGTTTCCATCTCCACTACTCACAACAGGTTCCAGTGAGTCTATGGCATAATTATCACTAATTCTCCCAAGGCTTTGTTTGCTGATGTAGCCTACACTATAGATAGTGAAGAACATGGCTAAATTTGTTCTATAATAATTTATTAAACAGCTTTCACACTAATAAATTATTTTGGGTTTCTAGCAATGAATCAGTTCTTAATTAGTCAGTACAAGAGGAAGAGAGAGTGGACAGAATTAACCTGAAGCTCCAAGATCAAGTATAATTAATGTCTAGAACTACTTTAAGTCATTCTGGATTTTATAATTAATTGATGAGTTAAAGCAAAAATGATTCCCAGATACAGCCTTTGGTGAAAGTGCTGTCTGGCTTTACTTTCAAGAGTTTAATAAGAGTAAAGTTAGTATTTCTTTCAGATGGAGTCTAAAAGACAACAATAGCACGATCTTCCAGGACACTGTTATTGAGGAGAAGGTACTGTGATTCACCTTTGCCCACCAGCTTGACAGCAGGAAGTAGGTATTAACGTGTTCATCTCCAAACTGTTCAGCCACATAGAGACCCAGCGATCCATACTTGTCATATATATTTCTCTTTGTTATGTCGGTGAGTATTGTGTGGGCATTGTTGATTTCTTTAAACTTTTCAGCAGCAGCTGGATCATCTGGATTCTTGTCTGGATGGTGTTTCAGGGCCAATTTTCTTTTAAAATTAAAAAAAGTGAGGAAAGTGTTATTTGACAAAAATTACAAGTCAGTTTGGAAAGCTGGTGTTCATTTATACATCCTTTGTGCAAATACTGTGGAATGACAAGTTTTATACTAGAGGTGATTTAACCAAAAAGTAAGTTTTCAATAAATGGTGTCTCTTGTTCCTAATATGCAGAAATAATCATATTATTTCCCACACATCCTCAAAGGAATTCTCAATAGGAACATAACCGTTGAGTCCTAGACATTTTACTATTGACAAATGTGGAGTTTATGTTTACCTGAAAGCTTGTCTTTAGCCCAACCCAACGTAGAGAGGCCTTTAAGAGTTCTAGCAACAAGTAGAGTCTACATTCAAATTCCATTTCAAACCAGAAGAGATTTCCAGAATGACAGAACTTTGTCACATATTCTAAAAGTTAAATCCAAGTATAAAAAACATCTCATATTTATATTTCCTCAAGCAAACATCATGACCCTTTCACAAATCTCCCACAGGTCATAACTCACTTTTGGTTTTAAAAAAAACACACTCTGTGACTTCCATTGTTTTCAAATGTACATCTAACCTCTTCCAAGATAGATCTTTCCACTTCCAATACTAGGTAGACATTTATTTGTGAGTATAAGATCCTCTCTCCTCTGTGGATCATAAAGCAGATCCGGAGAGGTATGTGTTGGAGGGGAGAATTAGGATGTTCATTATTCTTCATTTATATTCAGGTATAAAAGGGAAACCTGCATAATGGATGTAAGAAATCAGTTGTGCTAGATTCCTGGCTTGTGGCCATTTCTCTTACTTGACCCTAGAAACAGTTTAAGTAATGATTAAAGCCATGTTCAAAATTGGTGTGTGCTGTTTTTTGTTTTTCCTTTACAAAGACCATTTTTATGACTCCCAATTGGAAATTCCACATGGCTCTTTTCTCCCTACTTTGCCATTATAGGTAGATGTAGTTATCATAAGCTTTTTGTCTATTATATTGGTTTAGATAGAATGTTTCATTTTAATATAGCAATAAAAGTCCAGAATTATGGCAGAAAAGCAAAATATATCTTAAAAATAATCTATGTGATAAAGTGAACAAATCACACCTGTTGTGGAAATTAAAGTATTACTGCTTAAGAAGTATGTGAATTCTTAAGCAACTTACTATCAGAATGCTTAGAAAAGTACCCAAATGTTTAAAAGTATAAACCATGGTGCACGAACCATTCAACTCTGAAATCAAGATAAATAAAAAGAATAAAACCACAATGGCTTTAAAATTTCTTTAACCAAAATATTTTTCATCTTTTGCTCTGAGAGATGTTTGGCATATCTTTAAATTCTTCCAACCTCATTCACCAATGGGGTGAATGTTTTTGACATGCAAATATTATGACACAATACTTGCTAATAGCACAAATGCCAGTTTTGTCATTTAAAAATTTTTACAATGCTCACTATATTCTATCACTATAAGCATGTCATAAATATTAATTCATTAATACTCATGATTACCCTATGAGATAGGCGTGATAATTTACCCTATCTAGGCACTGAGGGGTTAGGAATCTTGTCCAGTATTTCATAGCTAATAATTAGAGCTCGACTTTGAACACAGGCAATCTGACTCTGATCACATGCTTTTAACCACTATTATGCTGCCTCCTGTATTTATACTTTTAAATTACAAAAAGTAAAGCACACAAGAATGTTTCGTAGGCCATTGTAAACCTTAGCTTTAGTCTGGGTGACATGGAAGGCCATTGGAGTATTTTAAGAAGAGAAGTATACCTGACTTTAATGTTAGAAGTCTAGACCTCTTAGTCTGGGAGAAGACAAAGGCAAAAGTGAGAACAGGTTTATTAGGAGATTCTCCTAAGTCTCCTAAATTCAGCCAAAGGTTCATGGTGGTTTGGACTAATGTGGAAATGGAGGATATAGTGAGAAGTGGTTTGAATCTGCAATATATTTTGAGAGATAGAAGATTGATTGGGAGAAAAAGAAGAAAAGATAACAGCAAAGGTTTGGTCTGAGAAATTGGAAGTTTGAGAATTTCTGTTTTATGAGATGGAAAGGGACTTTTTCTTATAATGGGGAATGATTTTCTAGGATCTAAGAATTCTGTTTTGAACACCTTCAGTTGCCTATTAGACTTCCAAGTAGAGTGGGAAGCAGAGAGATATGAACCTTAAATTCAGTCAAAATTACTGCAGGAGATGTACACTTGGGAGTTCTTAGCAGAGAGCTGATATTTAAAACCATGAAACTGGAAGAGTTATAAGAAAGTGGGCCAAGGAGTCCAATGACTGAGCTTTGAGAAAGGATAACAGGAAAGGAGACTAAGAAAGACCAGCAGAGCATGGTGACACAGTTTGTAATCCCATCACTTGGGAGGCTGAGGCAGGAGGATCACAAGTTCAAGGCCAGCCTGGACTACATAGTGAGACTGACTCAAAAACACAAAAAAACAAACCAAGACAAAAAATAACCAAAAACGTTAAAATAAAAAAGCCCAATTATGGAGAAGGAAAGATGGGGTCTTGGGATTTAAGTGAAGAAACTATTGTAAAGAGAAGAGGAAATCACCTGTGTCAAATACTGCTGGCAGGTCATATAAGATGAAGACCGAGAATTAACCACTAGATTTAGACATTTGGAAATCCTTAATGACCCTCATACACACACACACACACATGCAATCATGTTCACTATTCAATGTTATTTTGTTGCTTATTTGTTTTGCAGTGCTAGCAACAGAACCCAGGGTCTTGTGCATGCTAGACTAGTGCAGGCACTGAGCTGTATCACCAGTCCTATATGTCTTTTTAAAGGAAGAAGTAAAGCCCCCAAATTCCCCATTTCTTTTTTAAATAAGGAAATGACCAAAATTAATGTTGTTTATAATGGCGCATCAGAATTAGGTGATTGTTTTATTTTTTTCTTGTTATGAAAACTATACATATTACTATGTGTCCTAAGCATTTTAAAACTCCAGTAACAACTTTTCTTTTTGAATAGCTGAAAGTTCAGAGTTATTCCCTTAAATAACCTATCACCATATTAGAAGGGTAGAGGAGGATTAAAGAAAGAAAAGTACTGAAAGTACAGGACAGTGATCATCATTAAAAAATAATAATAATAAAAAACCTCCAGGAGATTCTTTAAGCACTTGTATTTTAATGGTGTAATAGTCCTGGAATTCTCACTTTGTGCTCCGGAACACTAATTATAGCATTTCTCCTTAATAGTTCTGATGATATCATATCTAGGCCAATCAAATGAAAGGGTTGGTACTTCTGCCTGAAGGGACGAACTCCATGGAAAATTCCTTGTTACATACATTGCCTTATTTCCAGGGTTTAGTTCTAGACTGATATACACTACTCCAGAGGAGCCTGACTTCCTGTCATTTTTAAAGCTGTTTGGATCTTTGTCAGCCTACTAGAACAGATGCACTCAATCCATTTATCACAAGCCTCTAACAATGGAGTTGGCGGATTTGGAGGGCTGGAACACCTCCATTTGTAGCAAATCCAATTCCTGATAGTCAGCAGCATTTTGACTCTTCTTGGCAGAATACTCTTGGCTCTGAGGAATTCTTGGCAAAGATGGTGACCAGGGGCAGCTGCCAAAATTACACAACTACTCAAGGAGGTAGTCACTCAGTGTCCCACTCTCCTGGGGCTTATCTATAGAGCAAGAAAACACATAAGGAATTTAGGGTTTAAGGAAGTGCTTAGAGTACATTTAATTAGAACAGTCACCTTATTCACTTTATTTCTTGTCATTTCTAATTTTAGTTTAAGTGACATGATTGGGAGGCTGAGGCAGAAAGATCACTTGTGAGCTTGAGGCCAGCCTGAGTTACATAGTAAGACCCTGTCTCCTAAATAAATACATGCATAAATAAGCAAACCAATAAATAAATAAAATAATATTATGTTTAAACAGAATGTGGTTTAATGTCAAATCTCTCTACACTTTTATTCACCTCTTAATCTGGTATGGCTATAACTTATTTCTATAGTTTAGAAATAGTATTCAATGCCTTCATTTCCACTTCAAAATCCAATGACAGCCATCAACTAAAATGTGTAGTGAATTCAATAGAATAAACATAGGATTTATACCTGCAACTATTGAAAACCCCAAGACCTACCTATTTTAAGACAGTGAAATATTCCTAAGAATGATAATGCTTTGCCCTCTCCTCTCCCTTGTCCTATACTCTCAGATGAGATCTGCCTACTACTCTCTACCAGTCTCTGAGTGACTTGGGGCCAGATTCATGTCCCCCAGTTCTAGGACAAATTTGTCTCCATAGTACGGGAATGTCAGAGGAGAACATATTTGGGAATACCAGTCTCTGAGCTTCAGGAAACCACGTTCCACCATGGCATGGCTATGTCTGTAGCTATCTTTCCCTAGTCAACATATTTTTAGCTTCTTTATCTAATTTCCCTCTGCTGGTTCTATTTCAAAGATTTCCCCATTGCTATCTGACTTTCTGCTAAACTCATTTAGCTATAAAGCTTATTACCTCCCAGTCTCCCACAAGAAAGCCACTTACAGCTTAAGAGGAAAAGGTAGAAGAGAGAGTGTGAGGCACTGATTCCCTCTTGCATCCCAGAGCCTTTAAAACTCCCCTCACGACACAGCCAGCACCTACTGCAAAACACAAGGCCCAGTCTGTCATAGAGGACAAAATCTGAGTCCATGTTAGATACAGAGTGTTCTTTCTAGGGAAATTTGTCTATGATGAGGGAGATATTGGGTGCAGACAAAAAAGCTGCCATAAACCAGAGTTTGTAGGTAAAAACAAACCCTATATCAGCAACCCCTTTGTGTATGGGAAGTGCTGCGTCTATGAGACAGAACTTTGATACTATGTCATGGCAGTGGAGATCTGAATGGAATTTCTGTGCCATCAAGGTCTCTGACAAGAGCCAAGTGAAAATATAAGAAGCTAATATATGACTTACTATGCACATATCCCTGACATT